TCCTATAGATGTCCGCTTGAAAAGTATTATTCTCTCTAAGCGCTCATAAAAAGTCAATTAAACAAAGACTTATGATGACACAGTTTATTTATTTAAGAAATGGATTTTAGAGAAAGTTTTGTTTTGCCAGTAAAACAGAAATAAAGCAGACTGCCAAGAAAATTCTTGGCCACTGTACTTTGAGTACAGCTGCTCTGAAACTGAATACAGTATATTGACCCCTCTTGGATTGACTCTTTAGGAATTTCTTTAGGAATTCTCTTTTCAGAAGAATGTTTATTTGTGCAGAATTTATGTAAGTATCAATGGGATTTGGCTCATTCACAACGCTGTTGGAAAAAAATGTGTAAAATTACAGTACTTTGCCAGTAACACACTGTACTATAAAATTACATTGCTTTATTTCTAAAAACTGTTGATTGCTGTATTTTTACAAGTTTTTTCCTGCATCCTTATATATCTGATGTACAGCCCACATGTGGTCTAATTTGAACTTACAGCTGTCTAAGGGCCCCCTGTTTGGCTGTATCATGTGAAGTGCATTAAAAGATATAGACAAACACAACAAATCTATCTGTCTAACTAGCTTAGAGTAATAAATGCTTAAACATTCATGCATAGCATTCCATGATACAATAATGACAATCACCTGAGCACAACTATTTGAGCTGATCGCAATTATTTTAGCTGACTGCTATTATTTTCCACAGTTAAAAGCTTTCATAATTACATGTTTAATCATAACAAACATGAATGAATGTGAACCTTAACTGGGTTTGTTTTCAGCCGTTGAGTTATAATGAATATTTATATATATAAGAAAGCAGAAAATGCATTTATTGAGACTAGAACTATACCAATACCGTATTTTACCTTTTGATACAATACATGATCCTCAAGTATCTGCTGATATTGAGTGCTTATACAGATGATAACATTATCTAACTTATAGGTTATAAGTTATAACTGTATGATAGCTATCTATAAATCTTGATATTTATACCATTCCACGTTTTACAGTATTTTATTTTGGTAAAGGCAGTGTTCTATGTCAGAAATAAAACATACTAATCTTAAATGAATGGCATTTAATGGTTGCATAATTTTCTTTTTGAATGCATTCCGAGCTACAAAAAGATACTGTGCTCTTCAAAATTGTTTACCTTTAAACATGTAACTAAATTTATGGTATTGAAATCCTTGCTGGTTGTGTCTCCCCTTGAAAAACTGGCATTACATATTTTGCGATGAGCATTTACTACTGTTTGCCTCAAGTGTGGTATAATCCTTCACCTCCAGTATGTGTTCTTCAGTTAAATCTCATTTACTGGCAGACATTCAAATATCTCTCAGCAGTGCACATATGTGTCAGAAATTGCTTCATAGTATTCTCTTATGCCATTACTGATAATGCATATGCACTCATGTGATGTTAACTGTATGTGAACTGAGACATGTCATGGGTCATCACAACGGAAGTTTTAAATTCTGACTGGTGCTATACCATCTTTAGGAGGCAGTAAGTGACTAATGTTTGTTTATTTGAGCTCGAGCTGGGTCTGACATCAGTTGGGAGCTAGTAAGCATTGAATAGGAGGCAAGATAGATAATCAGCCAAATTGGCCACTTTAGGCTTCTACTTTAACAGACACATAAATAAAAAAATATAATAATTCAATTATTAATTGTAATTATTTATATGGCAATTAATTATCATAATTAATTCACATATCAATTTCATGATCATAATTGGCCTACATAAGTGAATGGTCTTGTTATTTTTCACAGCAGCATAAACGTTTATCAGCACTAGTTTATTTCAGTTTATTAATCAAACCATTAATTGAAAATCACATTACAGCAGTTACATGATATTACACCAGCATTAAAGCTACAAAAATGACAGTAACCTAATATCTATTCTAAAATCTATTTTTATTAGAATTTATTATCATAACATTTCTGTATGAACTAGTTAACTGAAACACAAAACACCATCACTGTTGGAATATCAAATAATGTAAAATACATTCAAACAAAAAACTTCAGTAAGATGAAAAAAAAACAAACAAACAAAACTGAGACTGGCTGCTTAAGTACCATATTCACAGTTTACTATTACTGTAAAATCCAACTTTTCAACTTCTTAAAGAAGAAGCTCGATCTGGTTCTCCAAGAATTAACCATTTACAGCAATCTGCTGTACTGAAGTAATACAGTGCCTATAGTGTTTGTGCTGTACATTTACATCTGTTCTTAACAGCGAGTTAGTAACCCTAGAGGACTGAAAGGGCACTACACACAACTGCATTATGTCACCAGCAAAGGCCTACAGTGCAGATCCACAAGACATCAGAGTCTCTATTTCCAGATTAATTACTTTATTATTACAGTCTAAAAACTGCTGGATTGTTTTTTTTCTACCCAAATGCTGGGTTGAGCCTTTTGGGTCATATTGTTGGGCTATTTCTACAGTGATGGTAGTATTTAAGTAGTTTTGTGGAGCCCAGCCACTGGGTTAATGACTGTGTCACAATAAAAACCCAGCCAAAGGGTTCATTTCCAAATCACAACAGCACTAGTTTAAACAAGAGTCGGTTAAATGGCTTCTCATCAGGCAGCAGCTCAGAGTCACAGCTATCAGGAATCGGTAAGTAATATTTCATAGAATGTAAAAGACTTTTTACTACTTACTCTTCAGTGAAATGAACAAAAAGTGGTGTTTTATTTGGGGAACTGACAAGTTGTATCATAATCTATATTTTTGTTGTGATATGAGATTGATAAGATTAACTTATCTTAGCTAACATTAGCACAATATAGGCCTAATGATGTTTCCCCACTGTTTTACTAGAGGTTGTCTAGTAGATGTAGCCCTTTACATGACATTTGCTGATATTTATAGCTGAATATTAGGCCATTTTTAGGTAAACATTAAAATTATCAGTGTAATAATTGTACTATATGTGGCTAACGTTAGCCTACCAGTTAAATTACATAGTTAGTTAAACAAGCTAACAAAGCTAACCTAGCCAACCTAACAAACTTGGTTTGAATAGACTTCATATCACCTTCTCTCAGGGTAAGGTACATTACTTTGGACAAGGTGTTTTTGAGTGCTAAAGGTTTGTCATGTGTATCTTTTTCTTTAAATTTTGCTGTCTTTTTACAGATTGGAACAGACATAAGAATATATGCAGCAATCCGAGAAGAAACTTAAATAGTAATGAGGATTGGATTTTAATTCAAATGAAAATGAAATACAAGCAAACAAAAATATCAGACTATAAATCAAAAACAGGTTAAATGAACACAGTGCTTTGTTTATTAAAGTAACTATACTTTAGTATAACTCTTATAACCCTGCCTATTGGGTTGTTCATGGGTCAGAATAACCCAGCAAGTGTTCTGTTATGTCGTGAGCCAGCACGGCGTTGCTGATATGACCCACATTGGGATGTTTTTAACCCAGCGTTATTTTAAGTTTACTATGCCAAGGTTTGCTTTGACTACAAAGCACAATCAAAAAAGCATTTCAATCGCTCATATGTGGACCATCTTGTTGTTGAAACACTTACATATAGGACCCATAAAAATGTATAGATCTCTAAATAAGGCTGATATAAATGTAACATAGTGGAGCTCATGGGATGAGTTATTGGGTTGCATGTAGTTGCAAGGATTTTTTCATTCTTTTGTCATAAAAGAGAGTTCTTGTAGACTAAATTAAGTGTCTTAATTTGTACTCTAATCATGCATTGTTTGCATCTCCTGGCTACCTTTCAATAGGATTATAGACATTAGTACTAGGTTTTTATTGATTTTCTGTGTCTGTAATTATTAATAAATTAAAATAGAGCTTATTAGCAAGCATCTCTACAAAGGTTTCGAAATGAAATATATGAAGTGTTAAACTTCCAGTCATGGTAAGATGCATGTTATCTCACAAGCCTTTAGATTTTGATAGTCTTTAGATAATTTGTACACCTTTATTTCATCATTACAAACCCTCGACTTAATATGAGTAAAGTTCTCTTGTCCCTCATTTTGGTTCATTTTTTTTCCTACAGTAAAGTTGCAACATTCATGATCTGACATCTATGGTCTATTTTACTGTGTTTAAAAATGTTTATTTAACAGAAAAAAAATTGAAGTACTTTAATACAGTTTAAAAGTACTTTAATGCAATAAAAAGTATTACCATGAGTATAACATAATTACTCAATATATCTGTCAACAGTCCTAAATCAAAGTTTTTTCAAAGGTAGTGTTGTAATATAGTACAAAATTACTACTTTATCACTTAAATATAGTTTAAAATATTATAAAAAGCAGCTGAAATATGGTACTTTTAGTAGTATTTTCAGATAAAGTACTTCAAAGAGTGAAAACATGATTGCTTTGCTTACTTTTAGCAAATAACAACAATTACTTTAGAGAAAGTGATTTTAGCGCTTATCAGTGCAAATTACTTTGAATTAAAGAGTAAAAAAGAAATACAAACATTATCACTACAGTAAAAGTACAAAAAATATGATTACTGCGACTGTTACAAAACTATACTCAGGGAAAAATACCTTAATAAAGAAACATGATTAGTTTGAGTTAGTATAGCTAAAAAATGAAAACTTCATATAATTAGGTAAATCATGATTACTCTGAGTTAAAGTAATGTAAAGTATTCTAACAATGTATAGTACTGTATGATACTGTAAAAAGGTAAAAAAAAATGGGGATTTTTGGTGTGTTTGTTTGAGATGAAGCTCAGCTCCCTGCCTGGTCGTTTGCACTGGGCTGGTGATGCCTCGCTGGTCTTCTCCTGTAAGTTAGCCTCCCTTTGTTGAGTTCTCCTCTGTTGTTGGAGTTGCGCTGGGGTGGCCGAGCCGGGCTTCTCCTGTAAGTGCCCCTCTCTTTGTTTTGCAGTTGGAGCTGCGTGCACTGGGCGGGACTGGGAGTGAAGTGAAGAAGGCGCGGCCGAGCTGCAGCCCCCCCGCCCCCCCTTCACTTCACTTCACACGTGTAGACAAAGGGAGCCATCAACAGCCAGCAGCACCAACATTTCCCCCAACTCTCCAACTTCAGCCAGGAGCCAGGAGCTCCTCGGACCCCGCAGGTGAGTCCATGCTCTCCACTACTCGACACACATCCACTAGTTTGACTGCGTTTTTGAGCTGGATCTGTTTTTTTTGGCGGGGGGCGGATGTTTAAAACTTCTCTCAGAGTTGGTGCGTCAGCGCGCAAACTTGGAGAGCTTTCCTTTGTCCGGCAGATTTTTTGGAGGAGCACTCTGGATGCTCAAACTTTGCATATCCATATCAAAACACGAGTGTTGTTGACTTTGTTCGCGAGGATTTATTGATGTAAAAGCCTTGAGTGATGTGTTTTTTCCTAACGTCGTTTCTTTGTGGGACTGGAACCGTGACGCACGAACACACACGCAGCTGTCAAAGTTGATCGTCGAAAGGAAGTTGGTCAGAAAAAGAAAATGCACGAAGAACGAAGAAGAATGTCTTAGAATATTCTGTTCTTTAAAAAGCAGAGTGAAAACTGTCCTGAGGACAAAAGCTGCCGAGTTCTTATAAGAATCTTCCAAGCACTTATCAATGGCTGTAAAGCTATTTCGGCAATGTCTCATCTGGAGAAATGTACAAGAGTTAAAATGCCTTTTTTCATTTTTCTGGACTCTTGTTGAGACTCGTGAGGCAGGATATGGAGGAGAAAATGTGCAGATGAGCAACAGGTACAATGAGCCACTGACTCCTTTGTTGCAGAAGTTGGAGCGACACACACACACACACACACACACACACACACACACACACACACACACACACTCGACTGTTTCTTTGTTCTGCTCCAGATGCAAACACACTCACATGAACCAGACAAAACACTTTGGCTTCACCTCATCATCTCTCCAAAACACTGCAGTGGGTATTTTGTCTAAATCCATCATTTTCTTCAAACTGACTCATAGAAACAAAAAAGAGTCCAAATTAGGAAAAAGAATGAGTTGTATTGTCTTTCTGTGCTAAAAGAATATACTATCAAATTTTGTGGTTGCTACATTTTGGTCAAAGTTGTATTTTTCCCTCTTTTTTCACTCTTTTCTTAAATTTCTTGTTTCTTTAAAGGAAAACGGTAAGCATAGTTTTAACCAGCTGCTCATCACATTAAAATATGTATTTTCTTCTGCTTCTACTAGACAATCTGACTAAACCCATGTCCCAGCACAGATTTCAGCTATGTTAAAAAAACTTATATTCACTCTACTAACTTTTTGAATATTTGAATAGAGACAGGGATTTCTAAAGAGGATATAACATTAAAAAAGTGGGCTATAGGCCTTAATGCTTTGTATCTATTTTAACAGGGTTTTTTTTTATAATCGAAACACTGTCTGACTCACAAACATCTGCACTGTTAATTTCGCAAAAGTTTTTAATAACTTTTTAGCCTAATGTTTAAAGCTTTAACTCTGTATAAAATTGTGAAACTGTAACTAAAAACACAAAACAGGCCTTAAAATTATCTAAAACTCCAATGTACTTAAAACATCAAAAAAAATGGGCAAATAAGCTGTTTAGTCTAATGCACATGGCGTCTGCTGATTTACACCATGTTGCCTGAATTAACAACTGAGGAAACTTTTTTTTTCTTGTATGAAGTTAGTATGAAAACATTCTGGATGGATTTTAAAGTTTTTATCTGTTGCAGATCTATGGACAGAAGAAGAAAACCTCATGATGTTCAGGATACCTCGGTCAACTTTGGGATTTTGGATAGTAAAGACTTCTTGTTTGGCAACATTGTCGGGATTACCTTTCCTCATTGGGATACTGTTTTCCATGGGATTACTGTACCTTTTATACAGAACCTAAAGATTTATACAGAGATAAATGTAAGTATAACTTTTTGATTGGTTTTATTTAAAATATTGACTTTGTTTTGAAACATTGGTTTTATGTTTTATTAGTTTTAATGCTATCATTTGCACTAATTACCTTACTTTTTACTTTCTTTACGGTGACTTGAGTACAAACTCTGTCCCAAACAGATGGGTATCGTTTCTTGTTTTTACTGTTCTTGTTTTTATCTTCCATCAAAATGTAACAACTTTTACCAACATCTAAAACTTCTTTAGATTTTTGGTTGAGTCACCATGCACCATGGAAAACTTGGAACATGGAAAAATTAGTCAGTGGTATCTAGTTCGGGGACGCTCCCTGATACAGTGTTGGAAAATGTCACAGTACAGAGGAAAATGTGGTATGATTTTTAATTCATGTCGACTTTGAGCCTCTATAAATAATATTAGGCCCTCCTGTGGGGCACAAGTCATACAGACCGTGTTAATGTACTGGAATATAATAATGAGTTGTATTTCATTAGACAATCATGGGTAATAACAAGTAACATTTAAGTATGAATGTACTTAATTCAAATGTTTATGCAGTTGTGCTTTTCAGAGCATTTTCAAATGAGAATTCTTGAACTTCCATTCATGTGTATTTGTAAGGAAATGTTTTCAGGTTAGTTTTTGACATTTAGTTTCTAATTCCTTGTTTGGATTTAATTTCCTTCTGTTCTGCTGATTCAGCACCTGGTCTGCTTTGTTCTTGCACATCTTATTTTGGAGCCTTAACATTTTATTTTAGACGAAAAGGATCCCAAAAAAGGAAAAATTGCGCCTAACAAACTATGTACAGAGAAGTTTAGCTGCAGTTCTAAAGTAGTCACTTTATTCACTATTCACTACTTGATGAGTTTTTAGACCTCTTTTTTATATTTTTAGTTATGTTAATTTTTTGGTAGCTACATTACTTCTAGTGTTGAAGTACCACTTCGACTGGATAATTGATGTAGGCTGTCTTTACCTCAAGCATGAGGCAAGAGGTTAGACAAAGCAATACTGTTTGCTGATTTTGGAATGTTTCAGCTGCTGGAGCCAAAGAAGTGTAACAGACTCATTTTGCCTTGTTTGATTTAGCGGTACAATGTTTTTCAGCAAGAGTGAAGCTGGACAGCGTCTCATGGGTTTGTTAGAGAGCGAGGCTGCTACATTCCTTCTGGAAAAAAAGTCTATGTTATCCCCTAAATCTATTTTCAGCCTTTAAACTTATCCTCCCTGAATCCATTTTATTAATCAAACCCAAGCTCCTACTCCAGGGTGCTTTGATCGTACAAGTTGCGTCTCTGGCATTACAGCATCCATCCATGATGTCATTAGGAGCCAATGAAACGTGAGCAGGAGCTATTGCGAGCTGCCAGCGACCACCCACAGCCACACCCACCACCCTCCTCACCCCCACACACACTCACACACTCGCTGCCTGTGTGCACGTGTTGACGGCCACAGTGAGTGCACTGAGATGGTGATGAAATGCACTGTGTGTCTGTGTGGGTGGGTGGAAGATAGAGCATCTTTTTAGGCTTGTTACAGGTATCTTAATATTATTTATGCATTCTTAACATGCCTGTATAGTAGGACACAGGTTACTATATTGATTTGACGTTGTGTGTGAGCTTTCATGTTTTGTAGAGAATACCAGAAGGTGCTGATCATACGTCTGGCTGAGCTGTTGATGAGCCGTCCCCTGCCATAACCTCTGTCTGCCCATATGAGTCACTCTGTAAACTGTAGCGATCATGCACAGTAGCCTACTGAGTGATGTCACCGTTATGTTCAGATTCTAAGCATAACCATACAGCTCAAGATTTCTTTTTTTCAAAAAGGTCTCACATCTTTTGTGTTCTTCTCTTTGTACTCAATTCTTGTTCCCTTCTGCATATGAATCTGCTTTGGTGCAGCCACGCTCTTTAGGCAAGCATTACCAATTGTCATGACAGCCTACCTTTCAGATTTGCCCAGCGCCTGTGGTCAGCTCAAGAACCAAAGAGGAATATCAGGCTTAGTTTTGCTCCCCGGCGCCTGCGGCCCCAAGATAAGTGAAAATGTGTGCTAAAACGGAGCCAGGGACGGCGACCGGAGTAAATTATTTCTTTATGTCTTCACTCCGGGAGAGCTCTCTCACTCACTCTCTCTCACTCAAAACACTTTTTTTCTAATTGTGGGCTTGTTTGATAATTATCATATAGTTAAAAAAAGCTAATTTTTTGCCTGTCAGATAATAAATATAAAAATAGCCCTGTACTATTCTCAGCTTCTTTTAAAACGTCTCTAGATTTAGACTAGGAGAACAACCAAAGCAAACTAGGAAACACATTGCACTTTTGCATACACAAAGACTGAGGTTTATCAAGTAAAATCTGTCTTTACCCACCCTGTTTGGAAATTATGCTCTCACTACATCTAGCTTTATCAGGATCTGTTGTTAGCCGACTGTCCAGTCTGGGCATGAGGTTATGACACCTTAATCCTTGATGCCTATTAAACAGCAAATAGGTACTAACAGTATTATTGTGGCTGCTGGCTGCAGGGAGTGAACAGATAATATATGCCTGTTGTGCAAGAAATACATATTTTACATACATCTTTTCTACAATAAAAGAAGCATATAAGCAATAAGATTTCCTCTTGTAATACAGAGCAGCATCTGTCTCCCACAGCAGATGGCCCAATAAAATATTTCATCTCTGCATCGGTTGACAAACATCCTAGCATACTGCCTGAATTATGCTTTTTTTAATATCTAGCCACCTTTTTTTTAATCATTATGTATAGTGTATAATGCACTGATACAGAAAGATGGTTCCACCATTTGTTAGTTATTGCTTTCCTTCCATTATTCTACACTTACAGGTGGAATGTGATTGGAGGCTTGTGTGCTGTCTTTCATAGCAGTTGCTCTACTGTATTGTCTGAAAATGTGATTTTGTCCATGAGGAATCTCTCTGATGGGAGCTGGATTGGCAGCATTTCGTCTAAGCTGGGCATAACACTACTAAGAGTAAGTGAGACACACCGAACAGCCCTGATTGTACCACTCTGTTCTCGCCAGAGTGAAACAGCGAGAGTTAAAAGGAAGAAAGAGAGAAATTCAGGGAGAGAAAAATGAGAGGAGGCAGGAAGGAGGGGAACGTCCAGTCTCCCAGCGGTTCGCCGCCAGTTCACTTGGCCTTGTTTGCATGTCTAATGAGTTGAGAATCCGGGCGGGCTGACACACTGCTGCTGCGTAAGCCTGGGAGATACTCTGTTTAGTTTAGTCATCCACACTGACCCACTGAGAATATAAGACTAAGCACTACAAATGTTCTTGTTCCCATGTCTGCTGACCATGTGACGTAGCTTGTGTCTGGTGCACAGAAACAACCATTTGAGCCCCTACAGGAGTAGAACACGTCCCGAAAAGGAAAGTTCCTGTCGTTATAAATTAATCAAACATTCTACCCTACTTTAGTGAAGCAGATCTGAGGAAATAGATCACCAGACACTGTGTATCTTCAGGCACGTCAGGTCTGTATGAACTAATTCTGGCTCATTTTCTTTTTCCTCATTCCATTACACTGATATCATGCAGGTTAATCTCCATCTTATCTGTCCACGAGACTTCGTTTTTAAACTCTACAGTTTTTTGGCTCTATGGTAATTTCTGGCTCCTGTATGGGATTTGTAGTAGTTGTACAACTTTCTAGATTAAACACGAAAATGTAAAGCTTATAAAAAACTTTCAATATGTTTTATTTGACGCTTATTACGGACATTAACATATATTTTACGTTGTAACAAACTCTTTTAGTAAAGAGCCCTGGCATAAAGCTGCCGCTGTTTTCCATTTCTAACAACTCATTGAAACCTAGTGGTCAGGCTACTTGTATTCATGGTCAGTGACTTCCAGAATGCCTCAAGTTTTTTTTGATTCTTCTGTCATTTTCTAATCATATTGGTGGTTAATCTGGCACATTAGGCCTTCTGTCCAGCTCCTGAGCTCCTCATGAATAGGAGAGGTAACTATCTGCCTAGACACTACAAAGAGAAAAATTGTGACTGGATTTTCCATTGGGTGATTGTAATCTTCTTATTTCCAACCAAAACTTAACAGTGAAACAAGGGTAGTACTACAATACTTGCAGATATTCAAATACAGCAAGCATAATGACTGTATGAAATAATAATAAACTAAAATTACCAACATGTATTTTTTAGTACCCAGAAAGTCATTAAGCCTTCTTTAAAGGCCCAGAAGGTCCTCTCTGCTTCTCTTTATGGTGATCTTTGTAACATCTGTGCCCACATCCTGGATAGTATTGAACAGTTTTTCTTCATAACTAAAAGTTCTTTCATCCACTGACGTGGTTTTCTGTGGGCCAACAGGCTTCGACACATCTAATCTTTCACCTCAGTCTCTGACTGATGTATTCAGATTTATTAGCATCAGCATGGGCTGCTTTAATGACACTGACACTAAAATAAATCTCTGTCTGCAGTTTGTTTGGCTGATAGTAAGGATTTTGATTACTAGTTTGTTTCGTTCGACCTATATACATGCACTTATTTATATTTTGCATATCAAGAACTGCCATGGTCAGGTTGTAAGCTATTTTTGCTGACACCTGCAGAAGGTTGTCTTAATAGCAGAGGACAGCAACATAATATTGTTGAGGTAATTGCCTCTCCCAAAGCTCAGGATGTTAATGATTTTCCCTGTGCTGGCCTTGGCTCTGTCAGTGCACAGGATAATGACATGGACACTCAGCTATGTGGCTTTGTTAGTTGTGCAGTGGTGCTTGATGTGGCTGCAGTCTGATGGACTGACATGGCCGTGGCCGTTCCATAGAGGTGAGCTTCCTCTCACTGCTGTGTTGTAACAGCTGGCTATGGAATGCACTCTGGGTGCATGCTCACACACTGGCTTGGCTTAGCTGTGCTTGGCAAGGGTGGGAAAGGGCTGAGAACAGAAGGAAATGAACTCCACTGGGTTCTGTTATTTGAAGGGGCTG